TTTTTTTATCTCTTCAATTTAAAAAAATATCATTTATGAGGATTCTCAGGTTCTACACCTGAAACTCTTGAATTTTGGCATTGTAGATGCAAAACCCTGACCATCATTTCTTCTATGCAAGTTTACTTTCCTCCAATTGCTCCCTGCCAGCTGCATATTAGACTGAGAATGGGGCACAGTTTTTCTGGGGGAGGATAGCTCTTTTGTTCCGCTTTTCTGAGCACCCAAGTCTTCCTATTTCTAGCTGTAGCTGGGGTAGCGAAGGAGGTGTCTGGGCCTGACACCTTCTGGCAGAAAGACAACTCCCAGATTGGACTCGATTTGAAAAACTACTTCTTTTGCAAAGAGGGTATTTATTATACATTGTGAGTCTTCTTGTCTAACCCATTTGCATCTATTACTGTATAATTTTAAGATACAAAGGAAGTTTCTAGAGAAAATAATTTGCTGGTGATGTGTAGAGTCTATGGTCCTGGAAGGGTTTTCCAGGAGATCAAAAATGATGCTTGACCCAGCCTCTCGATTCCTTTCATGTCTTGAAGCCTAGCTTTGTGGGAAAGCCTAGCAGACCTGCATGCAAAAGGCACTCAGCTCGTACTCTTCAATGTTAAAGAGCGACCTTCCCAAACCATCAGACGCAGCCCTGCACATACTAGCCACAGTGCTGTGTCTCGGATGTGTGACCGCTCACTGCCGTTGGGTCGATTCCAACTTACAGAGACATCGTACGGAAGAGGAGAACTGCCTCTGTGGGTTCCCAGGGCTGTGACTCTTTACGGGAGTAGAAAGCCTCCTCTTTCTCCCTTGGACCTGTGGTTAGCAGTTCCATCAGCTGCACTACCAGGGTTCATTTCTCTGCATAAAGGCCTTTGGTTTTTTTGTATGCAATTATAGTGGGCTGAGAAGGGGGTCCCCAAAAGCTTATGTCCCAATCTTCATCCCAAGGAACCCAGGTGGCATAGTGGTTTACACCTTGGCGGCTACCTGTAAAGCCAGCAGTTTGAAGCCACCAGCCACTCCTCGGGAGAAAGACAGGACTTTCTAGTCCCATAAACAGTTATGGTCTCAGAACCTCACAGGAGCAGTTAGTTCTACTCTGTCCTGTAGGGCTGTGACGAGTCAATATAGACACAATGGCAGTGAGTGTGGTTTGTGTTTTCTATGAGATTATCCTGGATTTGGAGGGGGCCCTAAATCCAATGCCAGGGTTCTTAGAAGGAACAAGCCAGGGGAAATCGGAGCACGGAGAGCCATAGGAGGGAGAAGGCCGTGTGAAGACTGAAGCAGAGATGGGAGCGATTCTGTCCCAGGCCAAGGAACTGCATCGGCCACAAGAAGCTGTGCGAGACGAGTAAGGATTCTCTCTGAGCCTTTGGTGGCATTGGGGCCCTGCTGCCGTCTTGATTTCTAACTTTTTGGTGCCAACACACACTCCTCTTGTTTTCAGGCCACCTGGTTTGTAGTATTTGAGTGTGGCAGCCATAGGATGAGATACAGTAATCTTCCTTACCCTTCTTCATTTGTCAGAGCATGTTGCAGACCTAATAGCCCCTTCTCTTCCTTGTTCCCTCCCATCTCTCCTTGCTCCTGATTCTGGTTTCACCCTGCAGAGCCAGTGAATTATTTACTGGGGCTCTTCTAGCCACTGTCTCTACCTCTCATCAAATGACCTTTCCCTGCACGAGTCTGCTAAGAAGGTGCGGGGAAATACCAATGGGATTCACCTGCGAGTAATGGCACATAGGATTCCCTGGAGTGTCATCCTTCTGTGTATAAAATACATCCTAGGAGAACCAGGAGGAGGGATTGCATTACTAGTAAGATCCAGGAGTGGAAGGAGCCTCTGAACCTGAGAGCCTTGCTCAGTGAGCATCGTGGATCCAGATGACAGGCACACCATCAGAGGAGCAGCGGCAGAGCCAAGCCAGAGCGTGGACTAGAGTACTGAACTCCCCAACCCAAGGAGCAAGTGGGGATGGCAGAGGAGGGTGTCTCTGGGCACTTCCCTGGGGAAGTTGGACCTGCTGATCCACTGAAGTGGAGCTGAGTGCTTTGGCTGAGGCTTACTGGAGTTGGGTGCTGCTGGGCACTTAATTCAGGGACCTGGGTCGGCTGACCCTCAGAGTTTGTGCTGAATACCTCTGGGCTGAGGCTACAGCAGAATGGTATGCTCCTCCGGGCATTTATTAGCAGCTCTGAAACTTTGTACCGTCTTATGAAATAACCACCCAGCACATTTTCTCACTGGCATTACAATTTGTTACTTCCTTATTAAGCCTTTTAATCATGATTTTTGTCTGTGAGTTCCTGTGTAGCCACTTCAATAGACATGAGAAACTGTAGACGTAACCTAGTGGACACTAGTTCAAACAATACACACCTCCCTTGCTTTGCTGGTCCATTAAGTACACATCTCTCTCTGTGAGTTTGCATCCAGCACACACAGTACAGCCAGCTTGGATCTTTCAAGCGTTCAGTCACCAGGTGGCCAGGGGAGCCCACCAATCAGAATAGACGTGGACTGTGGAGAAGGTCAAAGTCCACGAGGTCCCCTGCTGGACCACGCATGAACTCTTTAGGTGCTGGACTGTGACAAGCAGATATTGACAAGAAGATTCTTGGTACCAGGAACTTTGCTAAACGGAACATCTCTGAAACGTCATCACAACCCTTTGGGTGAGGAAACTGAGGCTTAAAGAGGTGCAGTGATGTCACCTCAGGTCACCCAGAGCACCAGAAAGCAGCCTAGTAATGACTGGAAGTCAGATGACCAGATATCCTCTGTGCTCTGTGGGCAGCGGGTGAGGAAATGCTGAGAGAAAATCATCTTTCTGTAGAGTAGGGGACGCTTAGCAAGAGGGATCCTCCAGTCTGAGGGACCTCAGAAATGGAAATTTAAAATATATATTTCAAAATGAAGGATAGAGAGAATTAACTTATAATGAAAGAAAGTAACATAATTTATTGTAAGATGAATGAACAGGGTAGAGTAGCTGAATCTTCCTTGACAATCTTAGAGCAAAACATAAAATGTCTTGTTCTTTCTTTTTAAATGCATGCTTATTTAAAAACAACATGGTCATAGCACAACCACAACGTTACAAAACCACAAAACAAAATACATAATGTGCTCAAACTCTTTATCAGGAACATTGAATGAAAATCTCAATAACCAAAAACTACTTAGCAAACAGGTTTCTCTTAGCCCATGAGATGCTTTTATTGACCGAGCAGTGACTACCTTCGTCTCCTTCTGGAAAGGCATTTTCATCGTCCATCATGCGCCCAGTCGACCCATCTCTTACAGAGAGTCAAGATGAAATGAACGTTTGCATTTTATTCTGCAACCAATCACATCCTCCGTCTTTTGCACCGGCCGAGTGCTTTTGAAGGGAAGACCACAGGTGGCGGCTCTTGTGTGCACCTGGCCTCTCCGAATGGCCCACACAAGCAAGCCTGCAGCTCTAGCCTCCACGGAGAGAAGTGAAACCTGAGGGGAATGGGGTTTGACTGGAAAGCGAAAAGTCCCAAAGCGGTCTGAGGCAGAAGAACCCGCACCTCCCTCAGCCCAGGCCAGAGGTGTGGGCCCTGCAGGGTAAGGACTGTCCGCCCCGTGCACTCCTTGGCAGGGAAGCAGGGACTGTGGAGGGGCCGCAGCGAAGCCAGAAGGCCCGATGCTGTGGACTGCATCAGTAGGTAGGACCTTCCCACCCTTCCTCCACCACAGGCCGGCAGCCCACTTTGCTGAAAGTCGGTGGCATTTTCAGGGCACTACATATGTAGGTATGCTTTACAGGAACATTTAAATAAAGTTAATCTCAAGTTATCATGATTCTATTACATTTGAATACATTCATTAGTTGTTGGCAGATCTGTCACACCATGTACAAAAACGGAGCTATTTTCGGTACTGTACTTATGAGTCATCTTGCTGATTTTCTGTACATATTTTCTACCTCTGTGCTATAATTTCATCCTTTCTCTCAGTGTGTGCAGGTGGTGAGGATGTTCTTTTCCAACACCTTATTTCCCATGACCGCAAAATAGCAAAAGCGCCAGTCTGGCTTTCTTGGAGGACTCTGGTGATTTCCCAAGCTGACCTTGCTCTGGTGTCCCCACGTTGATCAGTGATGACCAGTGAGTGAGTGTAGATGCTCTTCTGAGATTTGCAATAAGAAGAACATCTCTCCATCTTGCAACTTAAGGGCTTCACAAATTGTGTGCCCATCTGGACAAATGGTGACGTCTTTAAAAACCCTCTTGTATTTTGAATGGCCCTGCTTGACCGGCCTACTGGGGTCTAAAAGTTTATCTGCTGATGTGTGAATTATATGCCCCCAACTTTTATTTCTTTCTCCCCTCCCCCCCCACTGGGTCATTGTCCCGGCATTTGAGGATAGAACCAGCGGATGGGTAGCCACTGGCACCGAAGATGTGGCACCGAGGGGACTGGAGTCCGCTCCCTCTGCCTCCGTACATATGGGGACCGGGACTGCACGCCCGGCCCCGCCAAGAAAAGGAGGACATTCTTTTCATAATATTTTTTCAAAGTTCATCTGCACCACTTCAATGTGTGTATTTGTCAGTATCCAACGAGGTGAGCCTTCAGGAAAGGAAAGGCCGCTAGGGCGTGATGGGCGGTGATGGGCCAGACTGCAGCGACTGAAGAAAAGATGAATGTGTCAGACTGAGAAAACGACAAATCGTGCTTGCTCCACTGTTTCTACACGGCCTCAGCAACTTTTAAAAGTTGTCAAGGAGTCGCGCTGGTGAATGTGTTTTATTAATCTGCCACCAACCATGTTTGGATGGCAGCTGACTTTGACCAGCTGTGTCCTTCGGAAGCTAGGGGTCAGCGGACCCTCAGCGCCACTAGGACCTCGTGCTGGTAGCCTTGCTCATCTGCAGGAAACGTCTCTGGAGCTGTCCTGTCCTTGCCCCAGGCATGACGTAATAAATGTGCTGTCTCTTGAAGAAGAATTGGAATTAGAAAAAGAGGAAGAAGAGGAAGAGTAAGAAGAAGGAGGAGAAGAAGGAGGTGGAGAAGAAGAAGTAGAAGATGACAACTGGTGGCCTTTAGTCATCCTTTAGACCAGAAACTGATTTCACTCCTGGGTTAGAATAATGAACCATTCAAGATCAAGAGGGCAGTATTTACCCAGGGACAAATTTCAGTAAGTTAGGGAGGAAGGAGGAACGGAAATAGGAGACACAGGGAGGAAGTGGGATAAGGGATGGTTCATTGAGGAGATTGCAATGTATAAATTGAAACAAAATGTGATTGAATCGTTGAATATAAAACTGATGGTCTGCTCATAAGCCACCTAATTCACAGTAAAAGGGATCACGGGGAGGAGATGATCCAGTCAG